GGCTTAGCAACAGTCGGGTGAATGTATTTTTTCAATCACCCAAAATGCGGGTTCAATTAACATGGCCATAGAGCCGAACAAACCTTATTGTGCCCTCGACAGCACGGCGATTTAACGCGTAGTAGCTTGCAACAAGCCATGGTCTTCTGCGCTCTAATTGTTAAATGAAATTAATTAAGCCCGGGGTTTGGGCTAATTATTTTGGCCGATGGAATCTCGGTATTAAAATGGACGCATTTCAAAGCAAGCGCCAATAATGGACGAGAATCACTTCTTAGAAAACCTTTGGTGTAGCCGATTTGTGTTGAGTTGGTTCATGAAAATGAAATTGACCTCGTTGACAAGTCCCTTTCTTTGTTCCAAGGTTTGGGAAAATGAAGTTCATCATGTCAGCAACACAGAAACCAGACCCTCTATAGGCCACTCCTCCTTTCTACACCACCATTTCAATAAAAATCTGACAATGATCAAAGCAATTGCCTGAATTTCATCGATCTTCCTTCGACTTTGAGAAGTTAATCGATTGTGAAAATATACTCAAAGCAGAATTTTCTATATGTGAGTAATACCATTTACTACGGATGATTACTTGATTAAAATCCACCACAACAAAATTGACATTGAAATGTTGGCGCTTAGTTAGAGCTTTGAGGCCCTTCAAATTACTGCTCCACTTCACTAAATACCCTACTCAATGTGAGCACTTCAAGTGGATGAGGAGGAGAGGAAGGTTAGAACATTGAGGGAGTCAAGATTTAGGACACACACGCACACACACAGGCTAACCACTAACCATAAAAATCATCAGGTCTTTTGTTTCATGCAGAACAGAGCTTTAGCATACTTTTGTCCCAGAAAGGTGTTTCAGATTTATCGCTTAATAATGTTGGATACCTTTCATCTCCAACCCAAACACCGCTGAACTAACTTCAATACCAACGGAGGCATGGCAGGCGGGGGGGGGGCGCTATATGTGAATTAAATACTCAAACACCCCTCTCTAACCATAGTAAAAATCTCGTCTGCACGTCTTCGCTAACTGCATGTTCTAATGTTTAAATGGTAACATTGGGGAGATAAACTTAAAAATGGACACTGTTTTGGCAGACAATACGCGAGGCATATAAGCACATGGAAATGCTACCTCACTGCGCCATAGTTTGATTGTCGATGAAACTCGTTCCGTCACCTACTTGAACTCAGGGGAACATGACTTGAAGCATCCAACTTAACTGTAGCTAGTCGTCTCTCTAGTTCAAGCGTTCATCTGAATGGAAGAATTAATCGATCTAGTCACAGTAGCACTATGTGACAAGGGAAATGGTACCCAATAAGAAATTTTACTGAATAAAAGGGTTCGTGGGTATTTGATAGAGGTATCGATAGCAATTAGGGGTGTGCGGTAGACTTACCTCCACGGGGTGCTTCCTGGGAAACGTTAACTCATACAGCAAAAGTCTACAAACCGACAGTTTACTTCTGACTCTAATGCATGTTCGACCACTTCCAGAGTACTCACCTTACTTTTTCTCTGTCACTGTGTTTGTCTCTTTAACGCCTGTGAATCACTCTTCTGTTCCCCACCTCTCGACTTTTTCTCACTTCGAAGTTCCTCCTCCCTGTGAAGTCCCGAAGTCAGCTCCAGGGCTAATGATAACTATCAAAACGCCTGCCATTTGATATAAATCAATAGCAATTATACGTCCATAGAATATATGTTAAGCAACCTGCACATGCTGGCATATTTAAATTAATCAACACTTCGCAAATAGTCTAAATTTTCCATCAGAAATCCGAGTCCAGAATTTTTATTTACGAGGATGCTACAGATTAATGTAACAATTCCCAATTTAATAAATTTAATGGCCGTAGCATTAATTTGTCGACAGCACGATTTATATATATGATAATATATATTCACAGTTGGGAAAAAACAATAATCTCAAAGTTGTTATGTACAAGGGAGGGGGGGGGGCGGGGTGGGTAGACAGAGAGGCAGACAAGGCTCTCAGCAGGAGAGAATGTTATCGATGGAGTATGTGAAGTTAGTGGAACTGGATGAAACGTCTTGTGGGGAAGTTGTCTTGGCGAGCTCCTCGGCAACAACTCGATGAGCGGCGGAATTGAAGTCGGTTGGCGACGCGGATTCGATGCTCGAGCGCATGGAAGACATGTCCTTGAGAGTTAAAGACGAGCCGCGTGGGGCAACAACGCAACTCTCACTGCTGGCGTGTTGGGTATCAAGATGCCTTCGAAGGTCCACTTTTCGCTGAAATGCTCGCGAACAGAAGTTGCACGTGAATGGCTTGAAGCCGGTGTGCTTTCTTGAATGCGTGATGAGATTTGAGGACTGGCTAAATTCCTTTCCACACAGATTGCACTTGTATGGCTTCTCGCCTGAAATTGGAAAGATTTAGCTAAAAAATATTAAACCAGAGACTTGATGAAAATCTATCTATTAAAAATTGAGATCAAAGGACATTTATAAGGCCCATTAGAAAAGTCGCTCTTTGGTTTCCATATCAGTGGCAACTACATTACGAAATCTACTGAGATGGCTGCTGACTAGGGTTAAGTCGACATATAGAAGACAGAGTTTGAATAATTCTTATTCGATCAGTCCAAAGGTAGTTAATCGATTGCTTTTTATATTAAAAGGAAATTAGATTACCAGTATGAATGTACGTATGCTTCTTCATGTCAGACTTTTGGTGAAACCGTTTTCCGCAGTACTGGCAGGGATAAGGTCGAGTACCGCTATGAATGAGGAGATGGGTACTGAGAGTAGAGGAGCGTTTGAAAGCCTTTCCACAATGACTGCATTGGAATGACCGCGAATTGTCGTTTATTCCACAAGACTCATTCATTCTCGTTTCTGAAAGGCATGCCGTGCCATAATCCACTGAATCTCGATCTTTATGAGATCTGGAATTAATTAGAAATGGATCAATTTCATTTATGTTAAGAATTGAATAGGTGAGTTTATAACCCCTGAAACAAACCTTCGCATGTGGACAATCAATCCATGCTGAGTGGTGAACTGTTTTGAGCAAAGACCACATATAAAAACATCCTCCATTTTGGATGAACTTCCTGATGAAAACATTTTGGAATTTTGGTCGGCGTTTAAAAGCTGTTGGACCAAATCCAAAGGTCCTGAGTTATTGTTTATCGTCAGATCAGACGGTTGGGTTGGTGCTGGAGGCGGAAGTGGGGGAAAAAGGAATGGAAAGGGAATTATTTCAGGAGAGGAAAGAGGTTGGAATGACGTCGGCGTGTCACCTCTGCGTTGGCGCTTAGGCGGACGGAATGATCGCTTTGTTGGGGAACCTTGGTGTCCCGCTTCCCTGTTGGCTATTGGACCGTTTAGAGATTGCCACAAGTCACTGTCTAGCGGAAATTGACTACCAGACTCAATGGACATCATTAATGCCCGTTGCACTGGAGGAATGATAAAGAGCAATCAGTAAGTTATGAATAGAAAACTAAGGTTTTAATGTTGAATTGAAAACTTACTTCCAGAAATGCTTTCATCAAGTGTTCGTGGCCCAGAGACATTGGGAAATGAATGATTAAAGAGGTCTGCTAGGTGTTCCGGTAGAAAGGGTGGAAGAATGGGATTTACACCGTTGAAGGCCATTATGGATGCATTAGGAGGCATTGAAAATGTTGGTTGAGTTGAAGTGGACTGTGAAGGAGCACTTGAAGAGACAGTGAGGTCTACAGCTTCGCGAACGGAATCAGAACTGAAGAATGACGGCTGAGACGACGTAATGCAGGAGTTTTTAGGGTCTCCAAACATTGGCACTTGGAGGCCACCTTTTTCGAAACAAAAAATATTAATTAAAAGCAAATGAGAAAGAAATGGCCTGATAATACTGTAACCGGTATGAGAATACGCACTTTTGATGACAGTGGGCGTTAACATAGAGGATCTTTCACGAACCACGAGGTTCATCGCATTTTAAGATGGGCAGTTTCTACTAACGTTATTTTACAAATTTAGACCGAAAACAACAAATTAAGAGAACTAGAGAAGAAATAACTATCTCCTTGCAGAAATTTTGCAATTTTTGTAAAGATATTATATAAATGTGCGTTATCCTAAAATAACAAGTGATAGCATCTAGAGGGCCCACAACCTTTCATTTAAAGGAAGAGGAACTTACGAAGGGAATCAGGGGTGTTGAAACAAAGGCTAAAGTCGAAGAAGGGTCGAGGTTGTTGTGTCATCGAGAGGGTGTTCAGCTTGATCGACTGCATAGACGATTGTAGCACCATTTGCAAATCTTAATTTACAGGTTTTATTGAGGAGTGCACAGGTTGACGCAGATTCGCACTCTGATTGGCTGTGATGAAGCTCACCCCGCGTGAGCAGATCTGAGTTGTGCACGCTTTTGCGTGAAGGGGGATGAAGTGGGTGGAGGCGTGCGCTCATTGGTTGACACGCTGACTCCACGGTTACTCACCACCAATCAGCTGTCGATTAACTCCGCGATAATATTTACCTCTTTCTGGTTACTTTATGTCTAAGTAGCGTCGGACTATCGAGGTTCACATTCATTGGGAAAAAATAGATTTCCCTATTCAATCATAAAATCTCTTTTTCACTTTATTTCTCTATTTTCCTCAATGTTGGATCCATTTCCAGATGCAAGAGTTGGATCATTTGGATTTTTAGCTGTTTAATGTCATAGTTTCTTCGCATAAAATGCAGATTTTGCATTTCTGGGGGTTATAACGACGCACAGTGATCAACCGAATTCTCTTCGTTCAGTCATTTCGTTGATGATGATCACTGCCACCTCGAATGGCATTTGACACATTGAGCGGTTTTAAGCAACAAACGCGGTGACAACTATCTTAGTTTAGAAATGCGTGTTATTGATACAAATCAGTAGGATATTGAATGGAGAGTGGTATTTACTGTAGAATGGGTGTTTTTCTGACCCTTTGACCCAAGTGTGATTTTTGGATATATTTATCGTGATAATGTGTGGACTATCATGACCACCACCCACAGTATTAATAGTTCAAATGGAAATGTTCAAAAAATTATTCTGATAAGTAGTTGCATCTCTGTTCCGCCCAACTTCAAAGCTTCCGTTTATTCTACAAGGGTTCACCGCCCAATAAAACTTTTGTTCGCAATCACTCTCTCTACTTGACAGCAGTGCTCGAGAGCGACGATAATAGTAGCAAGAGGTTGGGTGTCTGTTCTCGCGATTAACGATTTTGCAAAGTGTAGGCGGCAGCTGCAAAATGGATGTTAACTCTCACCTGGTTGCCAGGGTGGTTATTTGTATGAGAAGTAGTTTAACAAACCACGATGGATGTGTAGGCAGAATACCGATTGTCGAGCAGCTGGTTGACCAAATTTGAGTACCTCTACTCAGACACGGTGGGAGGGGGGGGGGGGGGGGGGGAGGTGTATGGGCAAACCTTCCCCGCTGGGTGATCATTTGATTAGCTGTATGACTGTGTGGTTGTCAGGGGGATGTCCATATTGGAAAATGAATAAATGAGTTGAGTTAATTGTCTACTCATTGTGTCTAATCCAGGGGGGAGGGAGGGGGTG